ATATCAATTCCTTTTAGCTTACTATACGATCAGTCAACAATAAACTATGAAATCAGAACTACATGTGTGTAAACAACACATAGCACAGTCTGACATTTTAACTAACAGTTTCTAAATACTAAACACTGAAACCTCCAGATCAGCCCCCCCCCCATATCTGAAAGGTTTTTTTCTTTGCTGGCTTTGTCCCACTGAGGGCCAGTTCACATGCTCTCCAGTGCGTTCCAGCAAGGTTAAGTTCTGTTACCCATATCAATTCCTTTTAGCTTACTATACGATCAGTCAACAATAAACTATGAAATCAGAACTACATGTGTGTAAACAACACATAGCACAGTCTGACATTTTAACTAACAGTTTCTAAATACTAAACACTGAAACCTCCAGATCAGCCCCACCCCCAAAATCTCCAAATCTCTACACATATTTGGCTATTTGGTTGACCAAAACTTAGTTTGGTTGATTTTGGCTTGCCACACTACAGATTAAGCTTGAAGCATATTTAAACCTAAAAAAAATATAATATATTGCAGTATACCAGTCCTTAAATGTAACAGCTACATTAGTTTTCTTTTTTTGGCTTTTTTTTTCTTTACTTTCACCTGGTGATCTGGCCAGTAACACACTTCCTATCTTAAGGTGGCTCCACTCTATGGAGAAGCAAGAATGGACCCACCTTTGGATGGTAGCATTATCATCCTGTGGAGAGCGTAAGTTTAGATGCACTAGAAAATTTAAATGGACTTGACTAACAAATTAAATCCCAACCCCAGCTTACACTTTTAGGCAGTTACAGCAACTATTTAATTTTTTCTTTTGGGGTAAAGGTTTTACATAAATGAATAAAAACTAACCATTGTAAGCACCCTTGTCAGTGTTCAATGGTTTGTCTCAACCCTCTATCTGCCATTTTTGCTGGGCAGCTTGGTCTGTTGAAGGAAGTTGAAAAATATCAGACTTACTAGTAGGATCTCCAGGTGAAAATAAAGGCAACAAGTCTAAAAAAGAAAACTAATGAAGCCCCTACGTTTAAAGTGTCACTAAACCTTAAATCTTAAAATTGCATTCAGTGCAAACTAATAACTATTTCTATTGACTATTAAACCCTTACTATTAACAAAAATGTAGCTGACTTGTGTATCACTCGGCTGTAGATCCTCAAATCATCTCTGAATTTATGCTGACAAATTTGTGCTGGGCCCTGCCATCAATAACTCACTGGGGGATGAATTTTATATCTCTTACAGTTTCCACAGATTATAATTTTCTAGCAGGTTCTTATCTATAATAATACTGTGACTAATACAGCTGTGCTTTTTAATTACTTGTTTATTTTTTATGATGGAAAACATTTAAGGAGACCTGGACACAATTATTTAATCTGTAATAGCTGCTTTAGTTATATAGAACGAGAACATATGATGGAAATATGTATCTCACTAACAGAAGTCCCAAGAAATATAGGAAGCCAGCATTTGAATACACCTGTGAGCAGTCATGCAAAACTGAAATATTATTTTGGTCCAAAACACTGTTTTGAGATGTAGAGCGTTGCCTTTTGGAAGGGCAGCCCAATGTGCTAAAGCAACTTAGCTCAGCATATAATGCGCTACAGCATACCTCCCAACTGTCCCTGATTTTGAACCAAATGCCTTTGTCCCTCTTTCCTTCTCAGTTATCTCTCTTTTTAGTCAGATGTAGAGATATCTATGAAAAGGTTCTATTTATCTACCAAAAGTGTTATTCTGCACTAAAATTCTGTGTTATTTCTTTATTATCTTCTTTACTATTTCAAAAGGAAGTATAAAGGAATAGTAATGGTGAAAAAAATTCTTGGTTCAACCAATTATCTCTGGCTTATAAATTCTTAATGGTCGGTGTAACTGGGGGCATGCATTGCCTAAATACATTGTCTTATAGAATGTCCCTCTTTATCATCTCAGAAAGTGGGGAGGTATGCATCACCATGCTGCATGTCTGTTGTCTTGTCCATTCTTTTGTGTTAGCAAAACATTCAAAATGAATGGACTGCCTCACCACAATGCACGTTGATGCTTGACACAACACGCGTTATTGTGCATGCATTTTATTGCAATGCACAAACACGGCAAAGTGTGAATGGGCCCTTAAAGTGGACCTTTACGCATATCTTTAAAATAACAACAAACACACCTTTAGAAATGTTTAGTAATAGCAATCTACAAACTAGGTATGCACCGATGCCGGTTTTCCGGTATCGAGTACCCATATTTATCTTTTGGTACTCGCCGATACCATATGCCCATACCAGTACTTCTGGGAGCATGGAGCCAGCTTCCCAGCCAAACAGGAAACTGGGCGCCGGGTTATTTTCTGCTGCCCAGCTTCCTGATTGGCCGGGAAGCTGGCTCCATGCTTTTTGGCCACCTCAATGCTGATTGGCCAGGAAGCCGGCTCCATGCTGAGTGGCCAGCTTAATGCTGATTAGCCGGGAAGCAGGCTTCCTGGACAATCAGGATACCGGAAGGCCAATCAGCATTGAGCTGGCCAAACAGCATGGGGCAGGCTTCCCGGCCAATCCGGAAGCAGGGCGGCGCTTCCTGATTGGCCGTGTAGCTATCTCCATATTCTCTTGCAGCACTGCCTGTCAGAGATAATCTCCCTCTGACTGGAAATTCCGGTATCAGGGGTTAGTATTGGAGCATTTGGGTACTCGCACAAATACTCGGTATCAGCACCATTATAAAACTTGTATCAGTAATGGTGCATCGCTACTACAAACACAGATAAGTGTTTAGATAATTACAGGCTTTGTATTCTTTGCATTCTGTATTTCTTTTTTCTTTACCAGTTTTCTGTCAGTGGCCATGTTAACTAAGGGCAGATTACTAGCTCTCCATATACACCCTTGAACTGTGTCACATGTGACTAGACATGTGACTAGGACATGTGACTAGGACATGTGGCCATGCACATCATCTCAGGGGAGGAAAATGCCTTTCCCTGAGATCTTATCGATCTTATGAGATTACAGATGAGATTTCCCAGCAATGCTCTGCTAATGTAAACTTCCCAAGATGCAACACTTTGGCACTTTCATCACTTGTGCCAAAACTGGAGCAGAAAGTAGATGAACTCTATTTGTAAGTAAATGAAAATAATAATAGTAATGATTTTAACCCCTTCGTGACGGGAGACGTACAGTGTACGTCTTGTCACTTTGTGCCTATATGACTGGCCACGTACACTGTACGTGACGAGTTATATCAGGCTTTGTAATGCCGGTATTTGCTGATTCTCAGCATTTAACATCATTCATTAATGTCTCAGTATTGAGGCATTAATTAATGAAATAATTAAGCTTTTTGTAAAAGCTTCTTCCTTTCATTAATGAAAGAATGAAGCCGTTACATGCAAATAGAGGACCGCAATTTGCGATCCCGTATTTGACAGCTCAAAATAGCAGAGAGGCAGCAGTGACTCACCTCACCTCTCTGCTATTTGTTTTGACAGCTCGAGAGCCCGATGTTTAGATACATTTCACTGAAAGGATACAATGTATCTCTTTTAGTGAAATGTATCATTTCTGATCGTCTAGGCACGATCAAAGAGCTTTTAGTGAGATCTGAATCTGACTAAAGTCAGGATCAGTCTCTAAGGTTATTATTAGCTGTTCCTAAGTTTGGATCAGCCTAATAGCCAAAAATAAAATAAAAAAGTTAATTTATCAAGCTGTCATAGTGATTGCTTGATATAAACTGACAAGAAAAAAAAAAGTTTTTTTTTTTTATTTTTATTTTTTTTACAAAGTGTAAAAAAATTAAAATAAAGTGTAAAACAAAATTAGGAAAATATAAATTATATATAAATATATTTTTTATACTATAATTAATATAAAAAAATTCTAAAAAAAATAATAATAATCAAAACTTGTGAAAAAAGTGTTTTCTTCTAGTTTTTTTCCTCATTTTTTTTTATTTTATTCAAACTAAGTGAGGGGTTAGGTACACATATGTGATATAATTATATAGCCATATCTGTCCTCTAAAAAACAATATATAATATGTGTGGGTACATTTAGTAAGAAAGTATATTACTGCTGTGGAAGAATCACACAGTAAATGTAAAAAATGTGTCAGTCATTTATGAACAGAACCTGAAAACTAGCTCAGTCATGAAGGGGTTAAATTAGCATGCAGAGCTGTATGCTGATGTGATTTTTAGTAAAAAGGGGTAAAAGTCCACTTTAATAAAAACCCACCCCATATGTACAACAGTTACATGTCCCCGTTATTCAGATGTACCATACTGATTCTGGGTTTTTTTCTGCCTTTTTTTTCCTTTCTGTAATGTTTTAAATTTTAATAAAGACCTAATGTTTAAAAAAAACCCCACCCCATGATCTAAGAATTGCACCTGAATCAATCCCAAAAGATAGCTGTGGTAAAATAACTATTATTTGAAAAATGAGCTTTCCATGTAGCCTCTGAATAAATTCTGTTTTGTTGAGCTGTATAATAAAGCTGCTCTGGGTAGTAACGAAAATGCCGTAAGTATTAAAACAGTGCACAGAACATGGTAATGTGTGAAGTGTAGCAACTAACCAAGTTTTAGTTTATTTTGGTGCAATCAGTGGTTGTTATGGGTTACCACACTTAGATTTAGTTCACAATAATCCTGCAAGTAAAAGAAAGATATGACAATATAACTCTGTGGCTAAAACAAATGAAAGTTGAATCTTAAATTCCATTTTAATCGGTTCTAATTTTTTCCAAAAACCTTCCCCAATGTAAGCTGATTAATGCTAGAGGAGGAGCCATGTACAGTACCTGACAACTATATAAATACTGTTTGTGGAGCAACATTCAGTGAATATTTGTCTCTGTCAGTAGCTTGCATTCATTCACATTTACCACATGGGGGAGGCAGAAACTTAATAAGTCATACACAATGATAAATGTTCTGTATTTTGCTTCTTTTACAGAAACGTCATTATTTCTCTTGATGGAATTTGGTCTTACCTGGTTCAGTCTTTGCCAGTATTCTGGTCCTTTTTCCATGTCTCTTAAACTTGGTGGAATGTACCAAAAGCATATATTTGCATACTCGGGCTGTAACAGAAATATAAAACATTTAAACCACAAAATGTACATATGAATAGTAAATATAACATTTAATGGCAGAACAGAAATATTCAGACTGCAAGGGTTAACTGCTTGTTTATGCCTATGGGACAGTAAATTACTGTTTTACTTGTTACGGTTTCCCCAGCAGTTGATGCTCTCCTCTTTACCCCCTCCGCTCTGACTGTGAACTGTCCCACAGCATCCTCACATATAATTGCAAGACTATGGAGCCTGCATTGTACTTGATGATGTCAACGATCCTTGGTCTGCTGGAGCAAAGGGGAGGAGAGGCTGTCTAGAAGCCCAGAGGGAGCCGGCTGGAGTGGGGATCATGTAAGATAAACAGCTTTTTCCTGTCCCCTAGGCATGAATAGTGATGCGCCGAATACACCCGAGTTCGGTTCGAGTTCGAAATTTAGAACATAGAAAAAGTTTGAACTTGAACTTCGAACTCAATGAAAGTCTATGGGGCCAGAACTCTGAAAATCAAATGTCCCCATTCTGAAGCCTTATTTGCAAATTATTGGCCATAAAAAGGGTATGGGAATTCAGGTACTGCCCTGGGGGACATGTATCAATGGAAAAAAACCTTTTACAAAATACAGTTTTTAAAGGAGCAGTGATCTTAACATTGCTTAAAGTGAAACAATAAAAATGAAAAATTGCTTTAAATATCATGCCTGGGGGTCCCCTAAACGTCCTGTAAAGTGGCAAACCTGTACAATATATAGAACCTGCTGCAGCAAAAAGTGACATTTATGAAGAAAAAAAAAGCGCGTGCGTTTCCCCCTCCCAAACAACACCAGTCACCGCTAGCTCCACCCAACTGTTTACATTTGTCCATCACCTGACAGGAAGTCATCATTACTTTGCCCAATCATGGCTCTCACAGTTCTCTGTGGTGACCTATGGTCAGGTGCATTACTTTACCCAATCAGGGCATCACAAGGCGCCCTGATAGTTCGTGTGTTCGGCAAACACAGGTACTGCCGTTGTTGGAGTCAAACTGTTGGTCTACTCGGACTCGGACAGCCCCAATGCAAGGTAAAAGTGTTCATGTCCCTGGAGTTGGGCTTTAAAGCCCATCTCTGGGCAAACCAACTAACTGCTCATTTATGCCTTGGGGACCAGAGAAGAGGACTTTTAAGTACTCAATCTCTGCTCCTCCTGGCGGTCAGCGTTCACCTCTGTCGCCCTCCATTCGGGCTGTTGGAAAGTCCCTCAGCATCATCATGTTTAATGCAGGTCTATCCCTGCATTAGATGTGATGGTGCCAGCGGTTCTTAGACTGCCAGAGCCCAGGGGACAAGAGGCTGTGGGAACCAGTCTAGCAGCCTGGAGGGAGCCAGCGGGAGTGGGAATCAGAAAAGTAAAATAGCTTTTTCCCATTCCCTTGGGATAAGGGAGCCTGACTGCAAGAGAGCACTTTTCATTTCCCTCAAGTTGGGCGTTAAATGCATCTAGATCCAAGATCAAAATTCTAATATATTGCAGCTTACCAGTCTTTGTATGTGGTGGCTAAATTATTTTTTTCTTTGCAGGCCAAGTACATTTTCTGCAAATACAGAAAAATACCTGGTGAACCTGTTAGAAATCTTGTGTCTTTTTGTTATCACACTTCCCTGTTCTTTTCTGTGGACTAAAGAACATTATTTTGGAATGGCTTTTATTGAAATAAATGTGTGGCAACAGGGTTTTCTTAAAAGAAAAATATCAGATATGCATTATTTCTAGTTGCAGTAATGCATGTCTTAAAGTACATATACGTCAATAATAAATGCACAAAAATGAATGTTCTCATACATTTCTGTAACGTTGTAGCACATCCATAGAATGAACACCCCCTGTTCTTGAATGAACCTCTCTTAGCTACAATAACACATTGTACTGCACATAAGTGCCCTTTAACACATATAAGTGCATATGACTTCGAATGTACTGGTGTGAAGGTACCCTTGCATTAACAGTCCAGAGACAACCCATGATCAGTTGATCATGATCAGACCCAACAAGCACTCAACCCCTTGCAATGGTAACCCATTGCAAGGGTTAAGACAAGTTTTGGCTGGAGTTCTTCTCTAAAGGGATCCCCTGAGGATTTTTAAAACATGAAACTAGCAATGTTTGAGAGCTAGCAATGTTGAGAGCTTTGTGGCAAACTTGAAGGTGGGCTTCAATTTATGACATGGCTTAGTCTGGAAAGGGAATGCATTTCACATTACCATCACAATTACTACAATAACAACAATAATAATAATACTTCAAGTAACATTGTGTGAAAGCTCATATTAACCCACCATGTGCTAGTTTTCAACACTGTAGTTTAGTCAGATTATTAAAACATTATATAATAATTGGTTTCCATAGCTTACTCCCCACCATGCTCTTTGATTTTGTAATACATTATTAGTGTTTTATTCCAAGTATTTAATTTTGAGATCAAATCACTTAAATTGACCTTAACAGAATTAATTAAAAGAAAAAAAAATCACATACTTCCCAGAGAAGTTCAAACCCGTCTCTTTTCTTGATTTCATTTGCTAGATATCTGCAAAATAAAAGAAAATGACAGCTTATGTGTGATGGCCAGGTGTATGGAGCATTATCATTTCCATTTGTATGGACATCAGGTGAATATTAAGAAGAAACTGGAACCCTTAGGCGTGTATATGACTTTACTTATAATTGTTACATGAACATAATAAGATAGCAAAGAATATGCATAGAATATATAATCCAGAGGAAGGGGGGAAAGGTGAAGAATTTCTACACTTTCATAGACACCAGAAATTAGAACTAAATATAATATGCAATTAATTCGCCAATACAGAAAATTATGTTTCAGCAGATTTTATTTTAGAAATACTTCATAAAATAAAAACAAAAGGTATATTTTGCCATTAGAACTGATACAAACTCTGACTTATTTAAGACTGACCTCAGTTTAATTAAAAGCAGGATTTTGTTCTGAAATAAAGAACCACCTGAGTATCACATCACATCAGTATCACATCAGTATCACAATTGTTACAGCAAGTGGTATTGTAATGTATAGCCAAAGTTATGTTTGTTATACTGCCATCTTGTGGTTATTTTGTTATTACACCCATTTTTTTCTGAGCTTCCTCCCCTTGTATAATGTGACACCTCTTCCTATGTGTTCGATTCAGCCATTTTCTGGCCACATGTGCACATGAGGAGGAAGCCATTACCCTTTTTTGACCTGTGATTACCATCATTTGAACCATCTGCTACATCAAGATCTCAGTGGATGAAAAGGTATTTGGCGAGTTTAGCTATCTGATGAAGATTGTCTGTGGTGATTGTATCTGCTATATACAGGCCAAACATAGAGGTCTCAGGAAGGGATACATCAGTATTTAAACGATTGGAGTCAGAATCTACTCTGCTACTATGCTTGTGCTATGCTCTGTGCCAAAAACATAATTTTAGCGTCATTACAAAAGGAACAAATTAAAGTATAACAAATATATTTATAAAACATTGAATGTCACATGCACCAAACATTTGCTGCCGGTAACTCAATCACTGTTATTTAAAATACATTCAACAGGAAGTGAACATTTGGTGAATGTCACATTCACTACTTCATAAATATGCCCCTAGTTGTTTAAAAACTATCAGTGGTCAAATTAGAAAATAAGTTAATTTTGTTAGTTTTGTGTATTTACCCCCTTGGTGTTTTTTCTGTTGAACTGCATTACAATCTGGAATTAAAATGGATTTTTCGGGGGTGTACCATTTCTTGTTCACAACATGCCTACTACTTTGTAGGTGGTGCAAAATATTTTTTGTGACTCAAAACAATAAATAAGACAAGAAAAAACTAAAATCTTGAGTGTGCATAAGTATTTACCCTCTTTGCTATGGAACCCCTAAATAAGATGTGGGCCAACCAATTAACTTACGAGGTCCCATATTTAGTTGATAAAAGTCCACCTTTGTGCAATCAAAGTGTCACATGATCTGTCATATGATGTCCATCTGCAACACCACTAAGCAAGAAACATGAAGACCATGGAGCTCACCACACAGGTGAGAGACAAAATTGTGGAGAAGTATACTGTAGATCAAGGTTGGGTTCTAAAAAAAATCCCAAACTTTGAACATCCCACAGAGCACCATTAAATCCATTGTAACAAAATGGAAAGAATGTGGCACCAATAAAACACCAACAAGAGAAGGCCAGCTGCCAAAACTCACAAACCCAACAAGAAGGGCATTAATAAAAGATCCAACCAAAGGCCCAAAGATAACATTGAAGGAGCTGCAAAGATCCACAGCAGAGGTGGAAGTATCTGTCTATAGAACCATGTGGAGGAAACCTAACACTTCCCCATCACCCTGAGAACATTATCCCCACAGTGAAGAATGGTGGTTGACGCATCATGCTGTGGTGATGGTTGTCATCGGCAGGGGCTGGAAAACTGGTCAGAATTGAAGGAAAAATGGATGGCACTAAATACGGGGCAATTCTTGAAGAAAACCTATTTCAATATGCCACTGATTGGAAACTGGTACGGAAGTTCACCTTCCACAAGGACAATGGCTGTAAGCATAATGCTAAAGCTTCACTGGAGTGGTTTAAAGGGAACATTTAAATGTCTTGGAATGACCTAGTCAAAGCTCACACCTCAATCCAATTGAGAATCTGTGGCATGACTTGAAGATTACTGTACACCAATGCAACCCATCTTACTTGAAGGAAATGGAGCAGTTTTGACTTCAAAATTAGGCAAAAATCCCAGTGGCTACATGTGCTGAGTTAATAGAGACATACCTCAAAAGACTTGCAGCTGTAATTGCAGCACATGATAGCTCTTTATACACAGTATGTGTATGCATGTGTGTGTGTGTGTGTGTGTGTGTGTGTGCATGTATAGCATAACTTCATAATTGCAAAAAATGACAATAGGTTCATAGGGCCATAGCTAAAATATAAAAAATGCTCTGCTCTATAAAGGTTTATAAGGGTGTTGCAGCTGAAATGGTCAAATCTGCCTGCTGTTTCATCTCCCGCTACATCTGGACTAATTGTTACATTCACTTGGTCACCCAACAGTGAGAATTGTTTGCTAAAAAAAGTAAATATTGTAGCAGGCCATGGCTGACAGACATACATAAGCTGCCACATAAGCAGCTTGGGTGGGGTTGAGTAGTTAACACCAGGATTGCTAGACAGGGTGGATAAGTGTATTTTTATCTTAAGGTATGCTTGCCCTTTAAGGTTATGGGTCAGGGACTTGTTTTTAGCACAAAAAGACCTGTACCAACAACCAACAAGTCAAGGAACCTTAAACAACTACCGGTACCTTCCTCCTGTGATTTGTAAAATTACAGTCTTTGCCGTGTACAAAAGGTGGTATAAAAAACAAAAAAATCCAGTATGTGGCAGATCTGTTTGGAGAAAATACTTTGTTAATTAAATTGGTCTTGTGAAGAATTACCACATTTGTTCAAGCTAATAGAAAGACCACAACAGTTTAAATACCTAGTCTATATAACAGTGATGTATAGCAGGCCATTTATAAATGCATAAAACATTGAATTTTGAAGCGGATGGGCTATGGCAGCTTATGTCCATTCCAGTCTGTTACCTGGTCTATTTGAGCTGGATTTTTGTGGTGACTTTGTATGGCTAGATTTTGGTGTAAAATACATGGATGAGTGGGCAAAAAATTGGGGGAACTGGGTAATGCTATCAGAGACGCAGGCAAAATTGTTTGGGGCGTAGTGGGCTGGTGCAAGTATGTGTATATATTTTCTGGATGGTGCAGTGGAAGCAGATTCTGTGTGTCTGTTGATTTACTAACTGGTTTCTTTTGCACTTTTTACTACCAAGAAGCTTACCTACAACAATGCTACATGCAATAAAACACAACCACTTGGAGGCAGTCAAAAGTAAAAAGAAATCTTTAACTTCTAAAAATGTGGTTTACACAACAGAGCAGTTTTTCTTGTATGGATGCCTATATAGGACAGAAAGCAACTAGTAAAGGTATCTTTACTAGTCTCACATTTGTTCCTTTGAATGTGTGCAGTATTTACTATTAAAAAGCTTACTTTGCCCCTATTAACTACTTGACACCCATAATAAAACCTCCAAACAAGCTTCTGACAAGACATAATTTATTGCAGTACAATGTACCAAAAACAGACTTAATCATATAGGACAGCAAGTAATATATTTAGCAAAATCATTTAGATGTCGCTAAAAAATACCCCACTTTCCAGGTGTCGCTCTTCTTCTGTCCAGCAAGTCCTGACATTAAAGGGATGTTTTATAAATCATTCACTCAGTCATACGCTGGGCGAATGGCGTTCACATTGCATTCCTACCACTAGCTGTAGCTGAGGAGCATAGGAATCAGTAGCATACACTCCTGCACAAGCATGGTATTTCTTCGGGCGGGTTTCCTAATGTAACATATTTCCATCCTCGCTGTGGGAACGGAGTCCAGCTCCACCTACTCCCTTGGCGTCACTCCGCTCCTCCTCTCTAGTTGGCTGTCAGTTTAAACCCGGGAAGTTTGAAATGCTCTGTGTTCTAGTAATTCAGCTGACACTGAGCATTTCCATTGCCTCAGCTTTTCCACACCCCATCCTGCTAAATCAGCTATACTCACCTGTAAACCTCGCCCCCCTGGAATTAAAGCTGCAGTGCTGCTTTCCACACTCGCCATCCTGTGCACATATGTATAGATTTTAAGAGTGCACACTTATCCATTTCAGACTCTAAGTACTGTACTTACCCCCCAAGTGTATGCTGCTGGATTCCCAGTCACTTAAAGCTGCAGGTTTACCCTCAGTGCACTCTTCATAGCTTCATTCATTGGATCTTCTGTAATGCCAACTCAGTGCTCACTGCATGGACTCTCAGGATGGCTGCCTCTCTGTCATTTCACTCATGGCACTGGGTACAACTGACGCAGATAACTGCAAGTACATGCATTTATTACATTAACTCGCAGTCTTTCTTACCAAGCGCTACTGTGGTCAAATCCAACTTAGTGCCAAAGGGAGGTTGCATTAAATTGGAGAGTGGCAACGTGTGATGTTTTATTTGGTGTAGTCCAGAAATGCTGTTTATTCCCCGCCGACAGCATGGGACATTTGTGAATTACCTGTTCTCTTTCTGTTGTTATTCCGCAAAGCCTGTATAAAGTAATACAGTTTACCAGCTTACTTGAACTCCACTAACATAGGACTGTTGTAATATTCCCTTCCTACCAAAGACCATCTTGGGACACCCACCTTATCCAACTCCTATAAGTGGCCATAGCTGCAGTTCTGTCCGCAGTTGAGATTAGTTAAGATAAATACTCCAGAAGCGTTACACCTGATGGTGACAACAGAGGACCATGCTTGCATCATGTGTTTTGATATGGCCATTTGAAGTCTCCATCACAAGCCCATATGACAACATAGGAGCTAAATGGGAAGACAGTGACAGAGCATTTTAACCAAATTAGTTGCGCTAGGATACAATGTTAAGTTACCAGCTGCAACAATGTATACAAGTGTAAT